TTGGTTATGAAGAAAAAACCATGTACATGGCTGCTTATGATTGGAGAATATCATTTCAGAACACTGAGGTAGCTCTTAACATATATCTAACTGGAGTTATACCTTCCTCAAAGAAGTTCATTGATCATGAACTATTTTCCTTCAATTTCAATTAGGCAATGCTGTTCCTCTAGTTACTAAATTATAGAAATAAGCTACAGTAGATTGGCTATGATGATTACTAATGAATTCAAAGGTGTAATTAAAAATGGCTTTAATTACTATTTATTTTCAAGTAATTAGAAGGCACGGGTTTCTGGTTGAGAGGCTACAGGTAGTAAATTCTTGTGATCAGGAAATTGGAGGGGCAAGATTGTTCATGTGGAAAGTACAATAATTAGGAAACTATAGCCAATTCTTAACCCTTAAAATTTATTTGGGCAGGTGCGTGATCAAACACTAAGTCGGATAAAAAGCAACATAGAACTTGTGGTTGCTACTAATGGAGGCAACAAGGCTGTTGTCATCCCACACTCCATGGGTGTGCCTTACTTTCTTCATTTTATGAAGTGGGTTGAAGCACCTGCTCCAATGGGTGGTGGAGGCGGACCAGATTGGTGCGCCAGACATATAAAGGCAGTAATGAACATTGGTGGACCATTTTTGGGTGTTCCAAAGTCCGTGGCTGGACTTTTCTCGGCTGAAGCCAGGGATATTGCTGTTGCCAGGTATATCAACTTAACTATCACTAACAGTGTTATACTCCATGCTGGCATCATAACATCTTTGGCCTTGAACAAAATTGTAATAGCTTGGAAAGTTAGAATCATTGCGGAGTGATTTGCTAATATTATTAGTTAAAAGATTAGTTCTGCGGAACTAAAAAAAAAAAAAAGATTTATTGTGATATTATACCGTCCTGCATGCGGGTTTCATTCAAGTTTTATTTTTCCAGGGGGTTTCACAATTTTCTTCAATTATATTTTTTCTCAATGATGTTCTTTTTTGTGCCTGTCGACGATTCACGTACTGAATAAATATGGTTCTTTCTTCTATAACTATTCAGGGCAATTGCACCAGGCTTCTTAGATAATGATCTCTTTCGCTTTCAAACCTTGCAACATGTAATGAAGATGACCCGCACTTGGGATTCAACAATGTCAATGATACCAAGGGGTGGAGACACCATATGGGGTGGTCTTGATTGGTCACCTGAGGAAGGCTATCTCCCTAGCAAGAGAAGGCAAAAACATAATGATACTCAGTCGACAAGCCAAGACACTAATATCTCAACAAATTCTCAATCAAAACCTGCCAACTATGGGCGGTTCATATCATTTGGCAAGGATGTGGCAGAAGCACCTTCTTCTGAGATAGAGAGGATTGACTTTCGGGTGAGGCTATGTGCTGTATTATAGAAAGAAAACATTTAGTCTAGTTTCTGTTTGCTATGAGGTTTTTCTATAAGCGTATCATTTGGATATTTTGTGCTATATTATAGAAAGAAAACCTTTAGTCTAGTTTCTGTCTGCTATGAGGTTTTTCTATAAGCGTATCATTTGGATATTTCTTACAACTTGGCATCATATGGTTGGTTCTTTATAGAAGGTTCCTTCACTTATTTTTATTCGAGCGCCTAATGGTAAATACCTAATGAACTTTGTCTCTGTCTCGCCAGATATTGCTGAAGAAGTTTTCTGTAATCTCTAAGCACAAAAATGGTTTCTGAGCAATATGTTAATATTTTAGTCTCCTTTTTAGTAGTTATCATCCAATTTTTGGGCTTGGGGAAGATTGTATTCATCTTGTACTTAAGATTTAACTGCTTTTGTCTTAGCATATAGTCTAAAGCCAACGGGGTGGCTATCAGTGCATCACCATTTAACTACCCTTACGGCCTTCCTCATAAAGCCCCTGCACTGGTCTTTTGCTAGATATAACCAAATTTTTTGTTTGATTACCCCTGAAAAGGGGGACTAATGGTAGTTACCTTTTATTCTTCTTTCTTAGACCATTTAACTACCCTTGGCCATAAAGCCCCTGTAGTGGTCTTTTTCTACACAACTAAATTTCTTGTCTGATTACACCCAAAAAGGAGTGCTAACGGCAGTTACTTTTTATCTTTCTTCCTCAGCACAATCAATGAGAGTAACCCAAATTTCTCTTTCGATTCTTCATAGTCTTCTCTTCCAAATGAACCAGAGGCTGATCTTCACCTGGTCCATATAAATTAAGTTCAAGCATTGTCTTGTATGCTTAGTCTTTGTGTATCAGTTGTCTTGAATCTGTTCAATCTATCTTGAATATTGTTGACTATTGAGTTTGAATTATTTTATAGGACGCCATTAAGGGTCCAAATATTGCAAATACCACCTGTCGCGATGTATGGACTGAATACCATGACATGGGAGTTGAAGGAGTCAGAGCTGTTGCTGAGTATAAAGTTTACACTGCTGGCTCTATTGTAGATCTGCTTCATTTTGTTGCTCCAAAAATGATGGCTCGTGGTAGTGCTCATTTCTCTTATGGAATTGCTGACAATTTGGATGATCCAAAATATGAGCACTACAAGTATTGGTCAAACCCCTTGGAGACAAAGTGAGAAATTTTGCTTCCTTACTCTTAATTTTGAATCTGGTTCTGGTAGTAATGCTCCTATAGCTCCTTCTATTGCATGCTCATGATATACTCATCATTACTTATAATCATGAGCTTATTAGTACGTATAACCTTCTGTTCAACAGTGATTAATATGGTTCTTGCTGATTTCTTTTGCGCTACTAATTGGCATTCTCTTAAGAGCAACTTCTTTGCTGATTTGTGAAAGAAATGTTTTCGCAACCATTGTGTCGTACTGTTAATCTGAATACAAGGTCTGGATATATATGCTCAACTTGATTTGTTAGGCTTGAGATTGCTTCACCATAGTTGTTTTCTGTCCGCCATTGTCAGAAATCCTCTGCATCTGACCTGTTACGATAAGATACTGTGTAGGCGATATGGGTTGACTTAACTGGTTGAATGGACCTGGCTTAGAACTTCTCTGTGCAAGGGCCAAATGCGGCCTTAAACTGACAATCTTAGCGATCATTTCTTCCTATGGAAGTAAATTCACACTTAGGGATAATTGAGCATCCTCCTTTAAATATATATTTATATTGGAGATAGACCTTGGAGCTTGGCCTCTTGTTGCTCCTCTGGATCCTTGGCATGCCTTTAGCACTTAATAGGTAGTCTCGGAGCAACCTGTTTCTACATCTATGTTTTCCACAACGAAATTACTCATTATGCATCTGGGAGTTCAAAACTGGCATTTCAAGCGGTTTTTTGTTGTTAACCTTTCCCTGCATGAAGAAATAGATATTATTTGGTCGCACTGTTTGTATTCATTTCATTCTTACCTTTTCCTGCTCTGATGCCTCAAACTAATTATTGCAGATTACCAAATGCTCCTGATATGGAAATCTTTTCTTTATACGGAGTTGGCATACCAACTGAAAGAGCTTATGTTTACAAGTTATCTTCCTATGCTGAGTGTTACATTCCTTTTGAAATCGATACTTCAGCGGAAGGTGATGATGAGGATAGCTGTCTGAAGGATGGAGTGTACACAGTCGATGGGGATGAGACAGTGCCTGCTCTGAGTGCAGGTTTCATGTGTGCTAAAGGTTGGCGTGGGAAAACCAGATTCAATCCTCATGGAATCCGTACTTACATCAGGGAATATGATCATTCTCCTCCGGCCAACCTGCTTGAAGGCCGAGGCACACAGAGTGCTGCTCATGTTGACATCATGGGAAATTTTGCATTGATTGAGGATATTATTAGGGTGGCTGCCGGGGGCACTGGAGAAGATCTGGGAGGTGATCAAGTATATTCAGACATCTTTAAATGGTCCGAAAAAATTAAGCTGCAATTGTGAACGAAACGTTGATGCATTTTATGCTTCTCCAAAAGCTCAACAGGACTCTTGCTTGATGATGAACAACGCTGTGTTATGCAAGTGCTATATTAAAAGCTTATGTGAGATCCTCTTCAGCAGAATATTATTTCCAAATTCCAAGCACAGAGGAATGTTGTACACTACAAGTTCTGTGAATACATGTAACGCGATCACCAACGTGTGGCACGAGTGCAGAATTAGTTTGATTCCAAAAGTGAAGCCAGCTGTATCCAGATTCTGAAATATTCTGTTCCTATCGATTATTTTGTGCAATAAAGAAGAAGAAAAAGTGTTTTACCAAAAAAAGCGGCAAAATAGAAAAGACAAAACAGGAACGCGCACACATGCGGAAGAAGGAAGGTGACAAATTATAATTGAAAGCTACCTTATGCAAATGCATAATTCTTAAGATGAGACCAAGAGATTTTATAGCTATTGAACAATATTTAGGAAGTGTTTGGGTAGAAATAAAACTATAATTTGAAAAGTGTTTTTATGGTATACAAAGTAAATATGTATAATAGTTTGTCTCGATTTACAGAATACTATTTATGGAGTTATCCAAACACCTCTTTAAATTTAAAATGAGGCATAATCGATTTCACAATTTCACACTTATTCCCAGCATTAAAGTCGTAGACTATTTGTTTGATATTTAAAATCATCATCTGCTTGCTTTCATCCAAGTAAGCATAAAAAATATTTTTTTTCCCCAAAAATGAGGGATAGAAAAACGAAGACATGGAAAATGGTGCAAGGGCATCTCTGTTTTTTTATTTGGGGGGGGGGGGTGGGGCTCTTTTCTTTTTACAAAGATAAGAGAAATATGATATTTTGATGTTATAATTGCATATTTCAAATGAAAATCATATCAGCATTGCCATTGCTATACCAAACATACTTTTAAGACTCATTCTTATTTTTATTTTCAATCCTAACCACAACCTCATTCCCTTACTGTGACAATTCACCCACTTGCCAAACATAGCCCCGGGCGATGCCGCCATCACCAGGGCTTGTTTTTGTCGTTGGGCTTTGGGTCTTTTTGTACTCTAATCTGTACTTTCCTTTTCTACCAAAGAGAGAGCCACGGCGATGGCCGAATAAGGCCTAAACGAGTTACTGAACCCGTCTTCCTCTGCCTGGGACGAGCTTCCACTAATTATTTCCGATTTTCCTTTCCTTTTCATGTTGGCATCAGATTCCCTGTACAATGATAGCTGGTGTTTCAGGATATATCGCATTTTGGTTATTGGATATCTGATCCCCCCCCCCCCAAAAAAATCCTCATAGTGCTTGACTGCTTGACAATGGGTGTTTTTGGACGGACACATAAGTGAAGGGGGGAAAAAACAGAGATGTTGTCCCTCATTGCCATTCATCGACAGTGTTTGGTCGTATTATAGTGATCGTGCAATGTCTATAAGAACGGTTGTCATGCATCACGTTTTGGCCTCCATGATTCATTGGACTTGTTGCTACTGCTTGTGCCCTGTTCATTATTAAAGGATTTCAAAGCCATTTTCGTCGTCGTTATTCGCCGTCCTAAGAGGTATACTGATGCGATAGCTTTTTCAGTCTTTCGTTTCCAACGAAGTTACCTTGTTGATATGGCTGATGCCCATTTCTACCAGAGGCTCGCTGGCATGCTTCTTGAGGTTTCTAGCCATCCTGCCTGGCCGTATCGCTGAAAAATCAACCGAGACAGAAAGCTGCTTGCCGCGTTTCAATTTTCTGGCCCCAACCTTTCAAATTTCATGAAAAGGGTGACATTGGTAAGCATTCACATGGTGTTGAGAATCTGCTGGGGTTGATTTTTTTTATTGCTAAATTTTGAAATAAGATGCTCTGCGGTACACGGATGATTGATTTCCCAAATGCCTGAAAACCCTATTTTGATGTCTAGAGTTAATTAACGTGGGAATTTTAGAAATACGTGTTTTTATGTCCTTGATAATATAAGGATGATGTGCGTGTTTGTATTTTTTTATTTATGTGAAGCTCAAATGTTTTATAATTGGTTCTGGAGTATTGGAAAAATGAGGATATCCACACGCCCAATACTAGCTTGCTTCCCCCCCCCCCCCCAAAAAAAAAAAAAACAGCAGAAAAAATATAGACATTAGTGCTAGACCAAAAAAAGATTCCGCACCTTAAATTGTAAACCGAGAATTAAGACTGATGAAATACAAATATTTTAAATTTGTGAACATCAAGATGTTTAGTTAGCATGGGGAATTGTAGATCATTTTGCTTGCCATGCATTGCTCGTGAACCCCCGACTTTTTTTTTGGTCTAGAATAGATGTAACATGACCTCTTGACCAAATTTATTTGAAGAAATTGCATGTGATTTTCATACTTGAAAAGTTATTTTGCTGATGGGTTGATGCAGAGATTCCTTGACCAAACAAGTAGGCATGTTAAAAATGTAAGTATCGACGAAACAATAGAGTTGTTAAGCCAAGCAAATGAGTCTGGAGCAAAACCTACGAAGGTTGTTCTTTGTAATGCGCTTAGCTCTTGCGCAAAAACCCAAAATTGGAAATTGGGAATAAAAATCCATGCCTATATGATTCGTTCTGGATATGAAGATAATTTATTTCTTAGTAGTGCACTTGTTGATTTCTATGCAAAATGCAATGCTATTGGGGATGCAAAGAAAGTATTTAGTGGCATGAAATAACATGATCAAGTGTCTTGGACTTCGCTTATTGCTGGATTCTCACTAAACGGTAAAGGAAGAGATGCCTTGTTGTTATTCAAAGAGATGCTGAATACCCAAGTTAAGCCAAATTGTTTTACCTATACAAGTGTTATAAGTGCGTGTGTGGAGCAAAAGGAAGCCCCCAAACAGTGTCCAACTCTTCATGCTCATGTTACCAGACAAGGATTTGATACTAGCAATTATGTGGTAAGCTCGTTAATTGATTATTATGCAAAATGGGGACAACTTAATGACGCTGTATTATTATTTAGTGAAACATGTGACAAGGATAATATTGTGTATGCTTCAATGATCTGTGGTTATTCTCAAAACCAATATAACGAGGACGCACTTAAACATTTTGCAGAAATGAGGAAAAAGAATTTAACACCTTCTGGTCATATTTTAAGTAGCATTCTGAATGCTTGTGGCAGCCTTACAGTGCTCTTTCAAGGAAGACAATTGCACTCATTGATTATTAAATTGGGTTCTGAAAGCAACGTATTTGTGGCCAGTGCTTTGATTGATATGTATTCAAAGGGCGGTGACATTGATGATGCTCGTTGTGTGTTGGATCAGACTTCTGAAAAGAATACTGTTCTGTGGACTTCCATGATCATGGGTTATGCTCAATGTGGGAGAAGTTCAGAGGCTTTAGTGCTTTATGATAGTCTATTGACCGAAGAAAGATTCGTTCCTGATCATGTTTGCTTTACTGCTGTGCTAACAGCTTGTAACCATGCAGGATTGCTTGACAAAGGGGTGGATTACTTCAATCAAATGAGAACAAATTATGGGCTATCTCCTATTCTAGATCACTATGCTTGCTTGATAGATCTTTATGCAAGAAATGGGAATCTTAGGAAGGCAAAGGTTTTAGTGGAAGAAATGCCTTATGAACCAAATCATGTAATTTGGAGTTCCATCCTGAGTTCCTGCAAAATTCATGGAGAAGTAGAGCTTGGAAGGGAGGCTGCTGATCAACTCATAAAGATGGAACCAAGTAATGCAGCGCCTTATATAACACTAGCACATATCTTTGCAAGAAATGGTTTATGGACTGAAGCATCTGAAATCGGAAGCATAATGAAACAAAGGAGATTAAGAAAGCATGCTGGATGGAGTTGGATATAGGTGGATTAGCAGGTTCATGTCTTTGCAGTTGGCAAACAAAATCAATGCAGTGCTAGAAAAGATTAGCTAGAAACCTAGATCTAGATAATGATTTGGCTTGCCAGCTGAAGCTATTAGGACTTAGCTTAATCAGCTATTTCATAGCTAGTTCAAAGAAAGGCATAGCAGAAGGGCCAGATTCTTTAGGCCCAGGACTGTGCTTGATACCATGACGATTGTGAAGTTACAGGATCTTAATTGTAGTTCTTCAAGCAAGAACGGAGGCAAACAAGTATTGATAGAGTCGGAGGACAGCCAGTATTAATTGTCGATCTTGTCAAAAAAATGTCATCTGGTATGAAAGCCATCACTACGGACTCTGGGATTTCTGCCAAGCAAGAGTAGGAGGAAGGGAGGATTCAAGTTGCAAGAAGTGCTTAATCCTGAAGAAATTCATGGGGACAGAGCAAACAGCTTATGCCACCTTTGCCATGAAAAACTTACACAAGGCCTTGAGTGCCCTCAAACAAAGAAGATGCAGACCCATTTGTTGAAAATTGAAGGAAGTTACTGTGCAGAAGAAAAAATGTAGAAGATAATGCAAGGGAAGAACTATTAGAACAAGCTCCAAAACAATCTTATTCAATGAAGGCGCTGGTGGCGATACAATACTGAGAGTGCTAGTGCAAGAAAGGTGAATCTTAGAGGTGGAAATTTGCATCCCTTGATTCGACCTGTTTTCGTTCTTGAGTAACAAGTTGCTTCAAATGCAGTTTGGGTCTATGCTGGCGTCTGCATTATTCTTGCTCTAACGACTGTCTTAATGTAATCTTTTGACAATCTGATGGGCTGATAGTTTTGCAGATAAGGTAATTGAAGACCAGGAATGCCTGAAATAACTTAAAAGCTGGATCGTTTAATTTGGTTGACCTGCGTACGTTCACGATTTGTGATAGTAACTAATGTTCCGAGCTTCTATTCAGGATAATGAATGTGATTTTCCATATGGAAATATACTTTAGGCTCCTCATTTGAGGACTAATCAAATTTTGCTGCTTTTCTTTGTTCAAGTTTTGTTTCCTGTTTTACGGTCAGTCGTAATACTTCTTCCTGTATGCCTGAGGAGAATTGGATGAACACGCTTCGTGATTGATCCATTGTTGATGTACTAGATTTTTTTTTCCTCCATCACTAATATTTCGTTTTATCTCCTAATTCATTTTTAAAATTAGGGGGAAAAAGGTGACGGCTGATTCTATGGAAAAGTTGCATAAGATTGAAAAGCAAACAAATAAAAGTGAGTAACAAATGGAATAAAGATTCTGTCATTATTATTTAATTTAATTTCTCATAAAGTATCTTAACTTTTTAAATCCTTTCTAGCCTATCATGACGTGAATTACATTAAGTTTATTTGTCTTTATTTCTTATGTATACCATTTACGTGACTCGAACTTTGGTCGATCTGGATATGTACATAAAAAAATTCCGTGAGTGGGACTAATTTGTTGGCTTCTGCCAGGAAGGTAAAATGATTAATACATTAATAAATAATGTGACTTCCGATTCTAATTATGAGATCTTGTTTGTAGAATTATAAAACCTTGTGTGTAAACTGCAAACGAAATTTTATAATTAAAACAAGAAGTTGTTGAATAGGATTTTAACTGTGAAGCGTTTAATTAATATCCAAGTTATTTCATATTAATAATATTAGCTTATATAATTATTTTTAACTAATAATGTAGAGAGGAAGTGTAATCTCTTCCCTAGGAATTGTAAGTTTGTAACATGGGGTTAATGCTCAATATAGCACGTCAAGTTGTAGTGGACTATGCAAATTTATAGTTTACATTGTTAATTTTGATCACGAATTATCTTTTAAAAAAGACAAATTACTTTTCTTCATTTATACACTGTTCGTTGTATAATTTGATCAAGGCATTAGCCATGTTTAAAAAATATTAAATGTTTTTCTTAACCTTTTATCAAAAGAAAAAAGTTTTTCTTAACACATCGTGACATTGCTTTGACTAGACATTTTTAGTATAGTATGGATACATAATGGGTTACTTCACTTTCCATGCCCTGCGTGCGCATCTCAACCTCACATGATACAGACTACTCCTCCAGTCTTTAATATAAGATCTAATTATTGAGTTGGTTTTGATCCTAAATATAAAACTCATTTCTCATATTTATCAATTTTTTTCCAAATTACCTCTATAGATACTCCCTCAACCATTGAAAAGGGAGAGAGGGTATTAAGAAAGATGATTTTGGTGTTTTAGGAAAAACGTGTTACATTTCTTATAATTACCTAACTTACCTAACTTCCTTAATCTAATCAAATTAGTTAAATGGGTCTTATATTAAGGATCGGAGGAGTATTTTGTTTCCCGTAGTTTAATTATATAAATTAATCTAATAAAAGTGTATCCTTTGAAATATTTAACATACTCTTCCGGTCTTTAATATAAAAGCAATTTAATTAATTTGATTAAATTAAAAAAGTCAGGTAAGTTAGTTAATTATACGTAAGAAATATGATATGTTTTTTCTCAGACATCATAATCATCTCCTTTAATATCCTTTTTCCCTCTTCTACTTGATTATAGTTGAAAGAATATCCATAAAAGTAATTTAAAAAAATTAATAAATATAAAAAATAGGTCTTATATTTAGGAGGTATTATACCTATAACCAGGAAGAAGTGTTTCTTTTAATTATGTGTAAACTTTATTATAGGTCTAAATTTAAAATAGAAATAAAAAATAAAATAAAAAAGGGCACCGATTCACCAAAGGCGAAACTCCTGAGTACGCTCGGACGCATCATATAACTTCTCGTTTTGGGGATTCTGTATCAAAGCGCTTTCGCTTTGCTTTTCCCATCAAATCAAAATCTCATAAGCCTCTCTCATTTTCTCTCTCGATCACAGCTGAACGGAACTCACTTCTCTCGAGCTCCTCCGTTTCTGTGATTGGTGTTTGGTTCGTCTTCTTGGGCCACTCTATCTTCAACTTGCAGCAAACCCCAATCATTCCAATCCCTAGAAGAAAGAGTTCTTTTTTCAGCTCATCTCTTGAACTTGGAAGTGGAATCAGACAATTGGGCGGTGATCAAGCTCGAAGAGGTAGCTAAATTGTTCGGAACTTTTTTCCTTGTTATACTTTGCGTTTCTTGCCATTTTGCTTGTTTGCTTGCTTGAATTCTTCGGTGTGTGTGTGTGTGTGTTATTACTCAATTATTTTTGCTCTCCTCTTTGGTTCTGACTTGGTGGAGAGGAAGGAACAGAACAAAGATGTATTTTGATTTCAAAGGTTCAGTCTTAATGCCATGGTGGCATACTTACGGTTATGCTTGGCTATGGATGGTAGCTACAAATCGGGTTACTGAGTGGTTAATTTTTTTTTTTTTTAAATGAGATTTAGAATTGTTTTTTTTTCTTTTAAATATTTGTGAATTTTCCTTCTCTTCCCGTCGCTTGACTGTGTTCGCACTGCTTATTTCACTTGCCCTATTGCTGCCTTGCTAACTTAATTAATGTCTTCGGTCTAACATATTCCATTGATGTAAAGTCAAACTTTCCGAGAGAGATTAACCTCAATTGGAAATTATGTCTAATCCTGTATTGCCATCTTTGCAAGAATGTACCATTGTAGATTGACTTTATAACTATTTTAGGTTTGAGTGCCTCATAATAAACATGAATTTGCAACAAGTTGGGCAGCCCAAATCTTTCAACGGGTATGGCCGCCGAAAATCTGAAAGGGATGGAGCATTCAGGTCAGAGAATAAGATCCAGTCTGGAAAATCAAATGCCAGCAGATTAGCAAGTACAGGTGAACTTCTGACCTTAATTATTTATTACTTCACTTTAGTTCACTTTGCTTATATATGTGTCTACTGGTGCAGTGCCTGGCACTAAAGGTGATAATTATGAGAGGCCTTCACATGATCGATTATTGTATATAGCAACTTGTCTCATTGGGCGACAGGTGGAAGTCCATGTGAAAAATGGATATATATACTCCGGAATTTTCCATGCAGCAAATGCCGACAAAGATTTTGGTACTTTATATGATTCTTTTCATTGATTGTTGACATTGAAGTGGAATAGCTAATAAGCTGAATAGTTAATGGGTGTCTGCTTACTTTTTTTCATTTAGTTTCATGGGATATAGAAAAAATTTTCATTGTTGACTGCTTGCATCGGCATTATTTTTCTTCCTTAGGAATCATTTTGAAGATGGCTCGCTTGATGAAGGATAGTTCTGTTCGAGGGAAGAGGTCTGGTGCAGAATTTGTGAGCCAAGCTCCTTCAAAGACATTAATTATATCTGGGAAAGATCTTGTACAAATCATGGCAAAGGTAGTCAATATTTAATGGTTGTAAAAAAAAGAATTTTTTTTTTTAATAGGAAAATCTCGGTATTCATTTTAAAGTTTGCAATCCTATGGGCTTTTATTCAGGAATTTTATGGTAATTAGTTGTTATAAAAATGGATCTAGGTTTGTATGCAG